CTCTCTCTCTCTCTCTCTCTCTCTCTCTCTCTCTCTCTCTCTCTCTCTCTCTCTCTCTCTCTCTCTCTCTCTCTCTCTCTCTCTCTCTCTATGAAGATCTTGACTGTGGATACATCCGCTACTACTCAGCTCTAACTCCTACTGCTAGCTGTGAAGCTATGGCCGCCTTCCTTCGTCAGCACAGCGCTGCCCAGCCAGGACTCCAGCGCATGCTACTAGCAGATGGCGCACAAGCGCCCAGCAGCACTTCCACACTTCTTCGGAATGAGCAATCTGTTCGAAATGCAGCTGGCCAGTCCCTATATTGACTTGGACTGAGCCTTGACTCGTCCCAGCCTATGCTTCTCTTGGTGTGACATGGACCCGGTACCGGCTGCCGGCGGCCTGTTTGCTTCAGAATGTTGAGGCCCGGTACGTTCCTGAGTTATCCTTGGTGTGCTGCTGCTTTTGGGTCTGTTGGACGTGCCCTTTGATTGTGGGACGTGACCCTTGTCTGTGGGATATGACCTCTGACTGTGGGACGTGACTTTTGCCTCTGGGATGTGACTGTTGACCGGGTACCTGTGGAACGTGACCACTGGCGTACCCGACGTAACCTTTCCGAATCTGGCCGACCTGGCCTCTTTTGGCTTGGGTACTTCGATCCTGAGATTCGAATTTGGGGTCTGCATCACAAAATGCCTTCCAATTGTCTGGCAAACGACGACTATTTACCTAGGCTACCAGCTGGGCCGCCCGGGTCATCTTGTCTTCCCGTGCGGCCCAGCCGTTCAAGGACCAGGGAAGGTCCCAGCAAAAAAAAAAGAAAAGAAACAAAATGTCAAAATCCAAAAAAATCGGAAAACAAAATGTTAAATTCAACAAGTAATATATATATATACAGGATAACCGGCATTCGGGACGGGCCGAAAGCCCGAACGTACGGGACCTGTTACATACTTCAATGAGTATGGGCAGAACCAAAGATCAACCAATATAGGATGAGCATTTATGCAGCGGCAGTCTGATAACGAACTGACTCACATAGACTGACTCACATAGACTGACCTACATGGCATCACTCCACACACATACAATCATGAGATGGTGGGGTCTGGGTCATGCATAGGCGATACCAAGATCCCGTACACACATACACAGATGAAAGGTGGGAGGAGAGACGAAGGAGGTAGGAGGTAGATCACACCGATAGGTCACAAGATAGAGTCTAGTAGGTCTCCAAAATAGTAGTCCAGAATGTCATATAACAAGATCAAAATGTCGAGTACCAAAGGTCACCAATGTCGGAGATAACCGAGTCCAGATGTAACCGGTGTCCAAC